GAGGGAGGGAGGGAGGGAGGGAGGGAGGGACATCAAGGGGAAGGAGGAGGGGCTGATGCAGGGGGCGTGTGCAAAGTTACTTGCCAGCTCTCATGATCGGCAGTGACTCCCGCACTGCGGCCCTGCACCTTGCGGGTGTCTGGGGCTGATCTCCCATTTTGCAAGTCCAGGACGTATTTTTTGCAGCTTGTGGGACGTGCATTCTACACCGATGAACCATACCTTCCTGTTGGGACACTGGAATCCCCATTCTCACCATTCACCCGCCTCGCCACAGCTTCCGATGCTTTGTTGTGCTTCTAACAGCCCCAAACTTGAAGCTGGCTGAACGTCCAGGCCAACCACTGGCGGCTGAGCATTCACATCACACCTACGTTGCTTCCAGCACTTGGACCTTTGAACCCCTTGACAACCACACAGCCCCCTCAAGTGACCCCGGGCCGTGTCAACCCCTGCCCCTCTCTCGCCAGGCGATTGAGGAGGACAGGATGATGGTGAACGTCCAGCACCGCAGCGCCCAGCTGATGAAAGCCCTGGTGCTGCTGTCAAAGCAGTACCCCATCATCGACGTCAGGGGCCGTGGCCTGATGGTCGGGGTCGAGTTCGGGGGCACTGACGGCGGCAGGAGGGCCGAGAAGGGCGTCGCATTGGTGAGAGCCGAGGGCCGCGGCCAGGGGATGGGGGGCTGTGTTGTTTGTGCGGTCTTTTGGCGTCGTGCGGCCCATGGCGCACAGGGCCTATGCGTTCCTCACTGTCAGAGGCCGCACCCAGCGAATGGGGCCCAAGGCTACGCCACTGGGCCGCTCTGGCCGCGGTTTCTGTCATGTCGCAAGGAATGCATTGCGTGCTTTGCAATGCAAACGACATAGTGTCATCGGTTGTGGAATGACTCCCTAGGGCGCCAATTCCTTCCTCCCAACACGCAGCCCCGAAACGCACATGCCACAGCCAAGGCAGCCCGCGCAATCCTCGTCTTTTCACCTGTTAATAATTCTGCATCAAGGCTGGACCCGACTTTTGGGTTTAGAATTGAGACCTAGCGGTCATGTAATAACCATGCTCCTCAAACCCCTGCACCCCCTCCTGACTTACCACACGTGCGCGCACACACACACACGCACCAACCCGACCCCAACCGTTCAGGCCGTCCAAAAGGCAGCTTTCAAGCGCGGAGTCATGCTCATGCCCGCGGGCGCCCGCGAGGCCATGCGGTTCCTGCCCGCGCTCAACATCAGCGAGGAGGAGATCGTTTTGGTGGGCCAACGCGTGCATGCGCGCGCGCGCGTGTGTGTGTGTGCGTGTGTGTGTGTGTGTGTGTGTGTGTGTGTGTGTGTGTGTGCGCGCGCGCGTGTGTGCGCACGTGTGCGTTTGTGCGTGTCTGCATGCGTGCGCGCGTGCGCGCGCTTGTCAAAGCCTGTGTTTGCACGCGTGATCAGTTTCTTTGTTGGCAGCAAGTGTCACATGTGTTCTGTCTTTGAGCAGTTCTGAGGCAGCATACTGGTGTCTTTGTGCGCTTTGGGGCTCGTGGTGATGCCATCCAAGTTACAGATGGGAAAATCAAATACTTGCATCTGTCTGGTAGATTGTGGCGGCCCAATTCGGCGTCCGCCTGTGTGCGAGCTAATCACTGGGTTTCTCGCTGTGGTGCCTGATTTGTGTACTTTTAGACAAATACGCATGTAGAGGATGTCTTGAGCAATGGATTTGGTGATGCTGAGAACATTTTTGGTTCGACTCCAGGCGGCCGTGACGTCCGCTTTGACCAAACCCGCCTGCTGCTGCCCCAGCGTCGAGCTCACCGCCAACCAAGCCGCCACCCCCCACGGCCCATGCAGGCCCTGGAGGCTTTTGAGGGGGCGCTGCAGGAGGTCTTCGGGCCCCCTAAGGACTACGACAACTTGGTAGAGTTGGTGGAGTGAAGAGTGTTGCAGAGGCGGGGGCGTGCGGCTGCAAACGCGCCCTTGCTGCTGCGGTCCGACGCAAGACGCGGGGTTTGGTGCGAGGGGCCGACTTGGGCCGCGATGCCTGGATGTTCTTGATGGCGGTCGCCTGCGGGGCCGAGCAGAGCAAAACCCGCCCCCGTGGCCTGTCGGCGCCTTGAGCGAATTCGTTGACCCGCTTTCTTTGACGATCCTTTTTTTCTGCTTCTCATTTGATTGTGCATTTCGTGCCATCCGTGTTTTGTCGTATGTGATGCATTGGGTGGCAGGACTGAGCGCTTGGCGCCGCGGTTTACCGTTGATGGTTTTCACTGCAAATTGCCAGCTAGCAGCTGGAGGCGGCGTGGCAGTCGTGCGGCCCTGCACCAGCCGGGCCGCAGCCGTGGCTTCTGACGTTGCTTTGATATTGTAAACGCTATTGATAGCGTATGTAACGCTATTGATAGCGTACGTGGTGCCTCTTTACACTGCAATGCCGCAAAATTGGACTTGGTTGTTGGACATCATGTGCAACTCGCAGCAGCTGCACCACCATGCATCGGGGACTCAGCGGCAGACCGGCTGTCATACATCAAAGTATTTGACATCCACAGCATGTGCATGCAACAAGCCAAAGAAGAGCGGTTTTGCAATCATGCGGTTGTGCAGAGCTTTGCCGAAATCTTCATTTTCAAACCCAGCAGCGCCAAGCGACATGCTTGGACCAAAAAGAGCTGGCGCAAGCCGCCCACCTCGTTGCACAGCCCGCTAGCAGCAGCTGTGGGCTAGTGGTTTTGGCCCTGTCGTATCCAACAGAACCGCTCCCACGTGAGCAGGCACAGGTACAGCTTGACAGCGACCGACAGCGCCGTTCACTTGTCCCCGAGCCTGCGGTAGGGGGCCTGGCTCGCTATGGCGATGCCAGACGGCTTGACGCAGACTTTTGTGGTTGCAACCACCTGCAAGGGTGGCGAGTGGCCAGGTGACCAGGTAGGGGGTGATGGGGGTTGGACACACATGAATCGTGACGCAGCTTGGGAGCCGGTTTGCCATGCACGTTTGGGGCCCCTGCTGCAGCAAGCAACCAGTTATAGCGGCAGGATGCCTTCACAACAGATTTCTGTTCACTGCGACCTTCCTCGGCTGCAACCCCAAGAGACCCGCGGGTCACAATCAAGTTGCACCACTCATGGCCGTGTAACAAGCAACCCCCTGGCACCTTGTTGATGTCATCGCCGGTGGCCTTGGGGATGCCCTCGAATTCCAGGGTAACGTCGGGTGACAGGATCGACGCGGGCAGCGGGCCCAGGTAGCCCTGTTACACGACAGTGGGAGGGGCGGGGAGCAGTGGCAGGGGTTGAGGGAGTGATGACCAACATGCTGAGGGGGGCCCTACGGTGGGGCTCTGTGTGTTGAGTGGCGGCGAGAAAGGGTCAACGTACGCTGTCGTGCTGTGCATGGTTGTTGGGTTGACCTGTCCTGATCAGTCGTGGCTGAAGTGCATTGGGTTGCATGGCACAGCCTGCGCCCTGCGCCCGTTGCGCCCCGGCGCCCATCAGGCACGACAGGAGCCCACTTTTACGCGAGCGCGTTAAACAGGGTTGGATGTGTCAAATTACGCATCTCGCTTCAAGAAAAGCAAGGAAACGTGCGCCTGTCCCGTCCATCACCCAGCACAAGCTTTGACATTTCACAAGACCCCAAAATCTGCGGAGAGCGCACCAGGTAGCCCTGCCTGGCCAGGAACTCCTCCTTGGTGGGAGCATCCAATGGTGCATCCTCATCCTCCATGGGGTGCTGGATACCCATAGACAGGTACACCTTGTCTCCAATCCTGGGTGTGTGTTTTCAAGGGCGGAAGGCAGCCGATCAGGTCGGAATTGAAATACAACCGCGCTGTGCAGAATGGGGTTTTAGGTGCACAAGCGTGCAGCTTGCTGCTCTTGCCTGCACGCACGCACACTTGGTCATAGGCAAGCGGGTTGTGCTCACACCCCATTGCCCACCAGCTGCGGCTGGCAGCAACCTGGTAAGTCCATGGTGCAAACCAGCAAGAGCCAATGTTTTAGATATCGCAAGCAACCTGCACAGCACTGCTGGATTTCCTGACACGACTACCTATGTAAACGTCAACACCTCACCTGCTGGCCCAAATGCCAGTGACCTCAGCAAACTTGGGTGACGACAGGATGCGCGTGAGATTGCCTGAGTCGAGGTCATACGCCCTGTGTGATACAGGTTGGGGGGGGGATGAGGACCAGTTGCAGTTGCTGGTGACCGCCACTGCACGGGATGTGGCGGGGGTCGAGCGCCCCTGGGCGCGAGGG